ATGCGCCGCACTGTCCGTCGTCTTCTGGGCAAGAAGGGGTGGCCAGAAGGCCTCTTCTGAATGTGGCCTTGATCTCCCCAGGTGAGCGCCTCCACGGAGGAGCCCTCTTGCCTGCCGTCCTCGGGCTGGCCGAGCGAGGGGCCACCTCTGGCAGGAGACGCCGGCCAGCCAGAAGCGGGGACGAAACGTGCAAGTCGGGCTGTCGAGCCACACAGCTCCCCCGCCCCCCCCCCCCCCGCCAAGCAGGCCGTGCTGCCTCTGGATCTACCCTTGCTCCTGCTGGCCCTTGCACTCCGGAGTGGGACGGGGGTTCCTGCTGCCTTACGCCCGCCACTCTCTGGTGGCAGGACACCACCGGTGCTGCTGGATGCAATGTATAGCCAGGGCGCTTTCCTCCGGAAATTCAGTCCAAACTGCCATGGTGAGGAAGGCCCCATAGTGCCTGGCCTCAGCCAGTTTCCCGGGTCATTTACAACTTTGACTGGTGGGCGGAGAGATCTGCCTGAAGGGACACAATCCACCCGGACGTTTCCTGTTCCAGCCCAGCTGGCCCACAGGGGAACTCCTCAAGAGCATCACGATGGAAGAAAGAGCTGCACAGGTGCAAGGGAGCGTGCAGGGGCCCGGGCCTTCGCACGACGCGGCAGGAGGAGAGCCCTGCCGTCACCCACATTTCCTGGACCAAGCTAGAAATCAGCCTTCTCAACAACATCGGAATAAACGGTGACCAAGTCCTGCGGCATCTTAAAAATGGCCACAGTTGCTTGAGCACCGCAGTTCGCGTGCTCAAGAACGTCTTGTCTGGCTACGGTGGATGGCCTGTTCGCGCCACAGTGCGCAACTGCCTCTCCGCCTTCAGAAGCCGCGTCTCTGGGTTGCTTCATCTATTTTCTCTACCCTTGGATGTGTGAACTCGCTGCCTAAGGAAGCGTTGTGTTTGAAATAGCACAAAACCTCCAGCTGCGGTGTTGGGACTGGCAGTCGCGCACTTCCGCGTCTTAGCTTTCTCTTGGGGCCACAGTCGTGACAGCCACACTTGTGTGAGAGAAGCACCCCTGTGCGAGGGGACGAGCTGGCTGTCTTTCATTCACTGCACTGGGAGATGAAGGTGGAGAGCAGCAAATGACAGTCGGAGCAGTGTGAGTTAAGGAACACCGTGGGCTTCTCAAGCAACCCGGTTGCAACAACTTCACAACCAGCTTACATGGTGTAGATGGGAGGCGTTTCCCATCCCATTCCATTAAATGAAGGAGATCATGCTATAGAAAGGCTCGGAGAGGCCAAGACACCATTCGGATCTTGCACTATTGTTACAATTCTGAAATTCTTTACGGAGAGTTCCTGACTCACAACAGACAAGATGCACTGCGATGTTGACAGACGGCATCCCGCCAAACAAGCCCGGGACACAAGTCTTTACCAAAGCCTTGTCGGGGATGGAGAACTTGAAGCCAGAAACTGGCTGGCAGTTTCATGAGTGCCAAAAAGAACGCCTTTAAGGCTGGAAGGCCTCACTTCCGAATGTCGGTGACGGTTTGCAGAAAGCAAAACGGGCATTTTATAACATGCTGCCAAAGTAGCTTTTCCATACAATATGGAGCATTAGTCTCCTCTCTTTCCTAATTTTTGCGAATACGCATGTCATTCTTACAAGTAGGACAGAAAGCCAGTGTGAATGAACCTGGCTGCCCATTCTGCCCTGCAGGCTTTACGGACATGCGAGAGAGTTAGGCAATGTGAAAACGCGGGAGTGTGAGCCTGGCAAAACCAGGAAGTGAGACAACTTTTTTAGTATAACTCTCGAAAGCAGCCAGGGTTGTTCCAACGTGGTCCCCATTTGCCTGAGCTGCGCAATGTACCTGCAACGGGCGGACGGCACTTTGGCGTTACTTGTCTTGTCCCAGCGATCCGTAAAGTAGCGCAAGCCGTATCCGCACTGCAGAGGCCCCGGACCGGTCATTTGCCCAAAGCCAGGCGGGCTTATGCCTGGAACGGAACTGGAACCGGAACCGGAACCGGGCCTTCTCTGTCCACGTCATCGTCAGTCGGCCACCGTAGTGCACCTTCTTTCATTGCACAACGTTGGTTTAGTCTTAAATATATTTGCTTGGCTGTCGCTGAGTCTTACTGATGCCTGCATGGGCTATTTCCAAGAATATTTAGGAACTAAACTTCCTGAATCTGGGAGGTGGGGGGCATCAGCATTTCCTTTTGATGGGATACAGTTCTTAATGCATGTGTAATAAATCTGAGCATTTCCCCCTGGTTACTGGCCCAGTATTCACGCTGCCATTTGTGCTGGTTGCTGCTCGGATTCGCTCCTGCTCCTCTTTTGACGCCCAGATTGAATCTCTTTCCTTCTTCAGGCTCAATATTCCATCTGCCCTTGTTTGTTCTACAGTTTAATGCAGTGTTTTTTCGCTCTCTCGCCCTGTTTATCCAGCCATTCCTTCCAATGCCTTTTCCTTCATATGTTTACCTGCATCAAATGGGATTCCATCCCTGCTTAAGGTCGCCCTCCCTCTGTGTGGTCCCCCCCCCCCCCCCTCCCCCCTTTGAACTTTCCTACCGGTTGTTTTCCCCCCCCCCCCCCCCCCCCCACTTCTCACAACCCCACATTTAAAAAGGAAAAAATAGTGATCCAGGCAGCGCCTTCCGTGCTTCCTTAAATCCAGTCCCTCGGTATTTTCCCCCTGGTCTGAGCGCCGGTACCCTGAAAGGGCCTCCCGTTCCCAGCCCTTTGCTGGCAACCTCGCTTTCATCTGATCGCCAGATAGTCCGCTGGAGCGGAGAAGGGGCAGGCGGGCGGCGGGGCAGCGGCAGCGGCAGCACGGAGCCCGGCGGCCGCCGCTCCACCCCGCGCAGACCCGCGCCCGCGTCAGGGCTGGACGTGGCCTCTCCCGGATCACACAAGCAACTCCCGGGGCCTCCCTCCCGCCGCCCTTAAATGGGTTGCTTTTGGCACGGGGCGGGTTTTTTCCTCTGGCACCGCGGGTGGGTTTTATACGCTTTTTGAAAAGCAACAAAATACACTTGTGTGTCTCCTCCGAGGGCGGTGATCTCGGGGGGAGGGGGGGAGATGGGGAAGAAGCTAGGGGGCAGCGTATGCTTTAAATGCTCCCCCCCCCCACGCTCCACACGCGCGCGCACACGCTTCTTTTCTCGTTCTTAGCCTGCCGATCTCCGAGGCGGGCTTTTGCGGAGGACCCGAATACCGAGCTTACCTTCCCAGCCCATGCGAAACCCAAGGGGACAGTCTTTGGTTGGCACAAAGAATGGGGGGGGGTCCCCCACCCCATCGAAGTCTTCAAAATTAGACTGTGAGGGGGGAGAGGAGGGAAATTTTGGCCCGCCGTGCCGTTGGCCGGTGGCACAGGATGAAACTGGAACGCAGCTGCAGGTCCGGGACAGCGGTGGCTTGGAAGGGAAAGGGAATGGAAAGAAGCTGCGAGCCGGGCGAGCGGGACTCTAAGGTCACCGCAAGGGTTATAGCAGGAGGGGAAGCCCGGGCATTGGTGCAAGAGCGAGCGAGCGAGCGAGCAAAAATGAAGGCTCTCCCTGCGGACAGGCGGGTGTGCGAAGACCCAGAGGCGGCGGGGAAAAGGCAGGCGCGGGCGCACGCACGGAGCCCTCGCGGCGGTGCGCGGATGGCAGCCCGTCTTGTGCCGAATGCGGGGATTTTGGGGACCCCCCGCGCGTGGATCTCCGCAGACGCCGAAGAACCTGCGTTTGTTCTGTCTTGCCTTGAACCGAGAGGGAAAGGACGAGCCCGCAGGGACAGATTCGCTTAAGAACAGCTCCTGGTGGCTTTGGTCCCCCTTCGCGTAGAAGAGGCTTTCTTTTGGGGGAGAGTCTTGGATTTTAGACTCGCCCCTCCAGCCGCCTTCCCCACCTGCCTCGGTGGGCAAGTCAAGCAAAGGGCGCAAGGAGGGCACGTTGCTACCCGAGGAAGCTTTCTGTGCACCCCCAAACCGGCTTCCCACCCGGTTTTATCCGCGGCAGCAACCTGGATCTGAAGAGACGGCGGCAGCAAAGCTTGGCTCCCGCTCAAGCGCGTTTTGCATCACAAGCTGCGTGACGAGGCGGCAGTCCGAACGCACCCTTTGCTCGGAGACCCCGCCGGGAAGGGAGCCAGCACACGTGTGCGCGCGCGTCCAGACGTGAGCCCGAGCCCGTGTGGAGCGCTCTGACCCAGCAAAGCAGGACTCGGCCCGCGTTAGGGGGCGTCACAGTCCAGAGAGACGCATTGAGGCGGCACACCAACGGGCTGGAAGTGCCGTGGGCCCGTGCTCCGTGGGGCAAGCGATGCCCAGAGTTCTCCGGCTATTTCTGTGCCCCCCGCCCGTGGCCCTCCGCAGCCGGATCGCCGCCCGACCGCTCTTGCGCTGACTCTTCCCCCGCGGCCCCCCCTTGCCCCGGGCCTTCTGGCCCCCGAGCCAGCCTCCAGGAGGGGCTCCGGGAAGGAGGGCCGCTTCCGCGCTGCCTCCTCGCCGGGCCAGCCTGGGGCGCGCCCGCCGCGCTCGGCGGCAGGAGCCGGGCCGCCCGGGCGGATCCTCGCCACACACGGTGCCGGCCGTTGCCGCCGGCCGGAGGCCCCTCGCCGCCCCTCTCGGGAGCCACCCACCACGAGGCCGCGCTGATTGCCGCTATCTTGGATCGCATCCTAAGCTTGGCAGCTGGCGCTGCTCATCGAACTGTTGCGAACTGCCCTGCTCCTGGCTGGGAGAGCAAGGCAATGAATGAATGAGCGGGCGGGCGAGCGAGCGGGCGGGCGGATGAATGGATACATAGACAGATAGATAAATACACAAACGGAGGCAGCTTCTCTCTGGGACCTAAGCGCCCCGATTCTAAGCAAGGGCCACTCGGAACTTGCCGCCCGGTTAAGGCGGCGCAAAGCAGCGCGCGCGGGGCCTCCTGCAGGGCAGCCAGGCGAGCGACCGGTTTGCGCGGCAGGTGCATCTCGCCGGGGAACAGGTTCCCGGGCAGAACCGCTACGGATGCCCTCGGCAACGGCGTTTCGCTGGAAACTGCGAGTACTCCCACCGCACTTAGGATCGGGATGGTCCAGCCTGCTCTGGCTTCAGACCTCGGCTCCGGGGCGCATTGGCCCCGCTGATCTCCAGTCGCCCGCCCGCTGGCCGAACGGAGCCTCCTCCCGAGGCACCGGGAACAGCATCGCCGGGCTCCTGCGGCGGTGGCTCAGGGGCGAGAGGCGGCTGCGGGCGAGGGCCCGGAGCTGCCCGGAAGGTGCCCAAGCCGCGCCGGGAATGAGCGACCGGGCTTGGCGACCCGGCGGGAGCCCCGCCCGCGTGACCCGGAGCCCCGGCTGGGCAGTGGCCGACGTCGGTCCAGGTGGGGCTGTTCGGCAGGCGGGGATGCGGCGCGCCCACAGCCGCCCGGCCCGCGTCTCCGAGCGGGACCAGGCGGCATCTCCGAGGCACGTGGGGAGGAGAGAGATAATGGGAGGCGGGGGCGAGGGGGGAGGAGGCACGGGAAGGCAGGAGGTGGAGTGATGGGCAGCATTTATGCGCCGGGCCCTCGGCGGCCGCGGCAATCCTCTCCGGCAGCGCGGAGAGGGAGCAGGCGCAGCGTCGAGGCGCCGCTGCTCGTCGCGCCCTTTCGCTCCGCAGGGACCGGCGGGCAGCGCGGAGCGAGGCGCGGCGAGCCCGCCCTGCGCGGCACCTGCCCGAGCCCGCCCGCCCGCCCGCGGCTGAGCGCCCAGCGCCCAGCGCCGAGCGCCGGAGGCAGCGGGAGGCGCGCACCTG